ACCTTTACCACCATCACAGCTCGGCTAGGAAACCTGTTCCTCTGGCGGTCTGATCATGCAGGGCCACCCGTTGTCGATGTTCCTTTTGCGCAGGGTGTACAGGTGTGCCCGGTCGATTTTCATAACCGTATCTTGGGCATCTGATACGTAAATCTACAGTGTAACGCTGCAGTGGGTGCTCCTGAGAGTGACGATTCCTTGATACGTGATGAAGATCATCATGGACCTCCTTCACCGGACCCCAATTCACACCAACAGCAGCAACAGCAACCAGCAGCAGTTCAAGGTAGACTCTGGGGAACATGGAAGCGGCCGGTCATACTGCTGCTAGCGGAATTGGTGGATGTCTGGGGTTATTTCAGTTCTATTGTCGCTCGTAATGTGCACTGGAAGCAGTACTTATTTATTGATAGGTAATGACTACATCCTCATTCGCGTCATCATCCATGGCTAATCATAATTATCAAACTTGCGTCCTCCATATGTACAGCTTGGCTTGCACACAGCAAATGAATCATGATGCCTTTCAACTTCACCGAGGACAATGCTCTGTGAAAGTCAAATTTGCCTGGGTCCTGCACGGAGAATGAATCGGAGAATGACCTCCGTGATGACGCGATTGAAGGCTGAAGATTTGCACTTCCTATACCACTCATTGCCAGCAGACGCGTGACCATAGACATTACCGCATAAATGGTCTTGACATGCCTTTGGTGGTTGGAAATACACGAAGATTTATTCTGACACTACCCACGATCGAGGTTGGGCAGGTGCTGCAGGTGCTTAAGTGGTCACAAGATCACAGCGCATGGGTCTCTGCAAGAGAGAGATGTCCTCGCCAACGTTACGGGATTTGGCTTGGTGGTGAAAGCGAGTTTGAAGTGAGAGGGCCAACTAATAGTTGGAAGTTCGGAACCACGATGTATTCCAACTAACTTGCATCGCGGAATCGAGTCCACCAGTATACAAATCTCTCGCCAAATCACACCTTGACATCACTTACGGACAGTACTAGTCGCGGTTCCTGGAGGTTCGACTCAACTTCGTCCTGGCAGAAGTGGTTACCACAACAGAGTCGAAATCTGTTTCTCTTAGACAGGTTCGAAACCTTCCGACAATTAATTTTTTTCTTTTATCAACCCTGACATTCATTCATAGATTCCTCCGAGGTTCATCTCAACTGCGTCCTGGCCAAAGTGTTTACCACAACAAAATTGAAATCTGTATTTCTTGGATCCGACTGCGTAGGTTCGAAATCTGTGGACGACAAGGATATTTTTACTCCAGAAGTGGAACAGTGCTGCGACACAGGAGGTCTTGTCGGACAATAGCCTGAGTGGAAAGGTGGTTGGAACACCCTTGACAATTCACTCATGGATGGTTTCCTCGGTGATCCATCTCAACTGGGCTTAGCCAAGTGGTTGTGGTTGTTAACAGAGCCGAAATCTGTTCCTCTCGCACTGGGCACGTTTGAAACTGCCTATGACAAAGTTGTTTTTCTATCAGAACAGCCTTGAAGATTCACTCATGGATATTCTTCCTCGCGCATTCATCTGAACTGGTCTTACTAGCCAAGTAGTTCAAACCGCAACGGAATCGAAATATGTTTCTCTTGGATTGTGCAGGGTCGAAACCTGCCGACGACATTTTTTTAATAGGAAACATCCCTTGACATTCCTCATGGATGATTCCTCGAGGTTGATCTTATTAGACGCTTGTCTAGGCACATTGAGCACGTTCAAATTTAAACCCCGCCGCGGCTGCCCCCAGACCGGCGGTAACTCTGACTTTCGTGATGGTAAGGCTTAAGCTCCATATATCAACTTCGTCTGATATCAAGACCATGACTTTCAGAATCTTGAATGGCCCCGACGGTCTGTAACAAGACCAAGATGGATACCTGACAGTAGTCACTGGTCAAAACGAAGTTTGCAAATTTGAATCTTGAACTTTAAATTTCATCAATCACCACATAACTTGATAAGGTAGTACTATACGCTCTTTACATAAAGTGTTTCACGACAGTGCCACAGATATGGTGTGTTCAGCGCCCAGCGCTCAATTTCTACAGAAGGATTCGTTGAGCTCTACAGAATGACACGACGTCGCAAGAATACCTCAAAACAACAAGCCAGAACGGAGCTTGCAGGAGAAGCTCAGCAGACGGACGACTCTCCGAGTCCATATGCACCTACGATGCAATACCAACATTTCATTCCACGGTTTATCTTGCGAAGATTTCAAGTCGGACCTGTGAAGTGTGTTTTCAGAGTCCTCTTGAGCACTCTGCGTGTGGGCACTAGACCAGAACACTGAATGATATTCTTTGCAGGTCCAAAACAGAACGACAAAGAGAATTTCGACACACCGGTGTTGATCCTGAATACGTCCACTACTATGATATTGCTACGGGTAGCCTTGACATTCGTCCCATTGGAAAAGTTTACGGCGTACCAAATTTCTATCAGGACGTCCGCAACACCCATAATATCAATGAACTAGAGGAGAAATTAGCGGACCTCGAACGTCATGCAGCCTCCATCATCATGGACTTGCATAAAGCGCTTCCTCAGGGTACTTTCACCCTGAAGCGGAGGTCACTAGAGCTCCTGCGGAAGTTCCTGTTTATCATGCACTATCGCAACCTGTCGTGCTCCGACACCTATTTTCAAGCGGATCACCCGGAGAACGCAACAAGCCGCCAGTGGATTGAGTCCTTCATGAAAGCGAAGGATATTCGATCTGCTGTCGAGTTTTGGCTATACGTCCTCAGATACTACCTGGACACATCGCATTCAGACATCATGCGAGATGCTGCAGAACTCGTAGAGAAGTACGGCGAAGAAGGTCTTCAAAAAATGCTCACCGAATCGCATATCCCACCTGATCTCGAACACTTCCCAGCTTACACTTACCACACTCATGCGAACAACTACTTCTTCAGTATCTGGGAAGCCGCGGAAGGGGAAGAATTTATTGTTACACACAATGCATTCGGCCTGTGGGAAGGTTTGGCAGATGGCAGCCCTGACCTGCACCGCATATTCGTAGTCAGCCCTCGCATTGCTCTCATCCTGCGCAGTGTGTTACTGCGTCCAGAATTGAAAGAGTTTGTGAAACCGCTTTCACTCATGAGCACCTTGCTCAACGTGAATCCAGCACCGCCAACTCCAATTTACACCAGTGGAAAAGATGGCATACACATCAACCAAGTGAATCACCAATCCGCGCGGTCACTTGCATGTTACAGATCCTCCCAGGAAGGGGGAAATGATAGCTTTATGTTCAAGATCACAAAGCTGTCCCGACCACAAACCTCGGAGTTCAACTCTGTTGTATTAGTCAACGTGAGGAAAACAGGCTCTTTGACCTTCCTGTCAAGGGGGAGTATGCTTCGCACCGCACGTGCGTTCCGGAGTGTGCCAGCCAATTTCCCTGCGAGCGAGCTGCTCGTTCCGCTCATTGCGCAGTTGACGAATACCATGGAGACAGAAATGTCGGCTCTCCGCCCACCATTACAATCACCAGTGGCTGTCCTCGACCAGAACATTGACGCACTTGCACTCGTTGATGTAGTACTTTATGTGCTTCTAATGCAGATTTGCATGGGTGGCAAGCAGTTCGAAACGGCATACGACAGGGCGCATCTAGTCTTTAGAATCATGGAGAAAGCAAAGCCCACGTCGTTCGCAGACGAAATCAACCGAGAAGTCGAGAAGGCTTTCAAGGCCTGCAAAGATTCAGAGGATGGGATGTCTTTCGCAGAAGGCGTCAGTTTCGCTCCCTTACTCCCTTCGATCTCCAGCGAGTTGTCTTCTCAACTCTTCCAATTCATGATACCTTGCATGAGCAGACTGGGCGCGGTGATATCTGGAGGTGGAGACATTTTGGAAGAGCTCCAAGATGAGGTCGCCGTAGTGAGCTTTCTTGCACGTGCATCAAGCAGCCCAGCAGCGTGGCATGCACTCTCGTGTACCAGCCCACAGGCCCCCGAAATATTATCAAGGCTATTCAAGAAAGGCACTCCAATAGATGGATCTGTTGTGAGATTCACGCGGTATATGTACCGCGAGCGGGCTTCGCCATCATCTTTCTCTTCCAAATTTCACCTGGCATATTCGTTACGAGGACTGTGCGGGATGGCTGGGCCAACCACCAATGCCGTCAGTCGGAGCTACTACCAATTAACGGCTTCTATAATCCAATGTCTTGGTCGCACAATGCTGAGGTCCCTGCCGGAACCGTACGCTTCACAGCCGCGCGAGAGGCCCAAGGCCCGGCTTATCTGCAAGATCCCTGAAGAACATTCAGACTTACTTTTCTCGAATGTGAAGATGATACTGCAGAAATCGCTCCCGGGATATGAGCCGTCGCCAGGAGGGGATACTCTGGACCAGACCCTCAGAAAATGGATAGAGGAGATGGCTATCGTCGGTTACCTTGCGTGGTCAGGGAAACACAGGAGAAATTATTTGGACTTCATTCTGGATGGGTTTTCGCAGGGTATGAATTTTAAGCTGTTTGAAGATGAAGACGTCGCTGGGAGTACCTGAATCAGCTTATTCGAATTGATCTTCTAAATCACTTACTGATCGGATACATCAGTTGTACGTATATTTTGAATAAAATGACGACTTATTGGGGAGATACCAATTTCCAGACTCATGGCAGTAAAGTTGCCGCAGTCCGGTTCAGGTCCGGTTCGAGCAGATTTTGGTCGAACTCGAACTCGAACCAAGTAGCATTGTTTCCTCACCCTCGAACCCGAACCAGGATCATAGGTTCACCAATGGACCGGTCTGGTATGGTTCTGTTCGAGTTCGAACTGGTTCCAGACCCTTCACTGATACAAAATGGAATTTTTTGTGAAAATTTTACTACTCAAGCTCCCGCAGCGCTGAACGACTGTCTTTTTGTTTTTGCACCTCACAAACAGAGTCTTTTGCCCATTGTCTCCTCTCCGCAGCCTCCCTGTCAGCTTTCTCTGTGTCTCTGTGCCTTCATTCCCACTTGTATTTGCCTTTCACCATCTGAATGTCACCAAAGTTCTTGGGAAGCAATCTTGCACACCATTTCATATCTGTAAGTCCTGTGTCTGAAAATGCTCATTCACATGGCACCAAGGAACCTTGCACAGGTAAATAATCAAGTGTGATGTGACTCAGGATGGGAAAACAGGGAGCATTAGTCTGGTAATGATGTTGAGTGTAGATAGGTGTAAAAGATGTCACACGTCTAAAGAGACAAGGACTTCATAAGTCCCCAGTTGAGTATGAACAGACTCGTATAGTATGTACCTAAAGAGACAAGGACTTCATAAGTCCTGTACTACATCAGTAAGGAATGTGAGTATCATATAGTGAGACTTACCCCAGTCGAGTATGAACAGACTGGGGAAGAAGGGAAAAAACGAGACAAGCGAATGTACCTGGAGTGGAGTTACCGTATTTAGTAAGTACGTTGAAGGTAGTGAACATGACACCAAACAAAAAGAAATATCTATACTACTATGTTGACGGATTGATTTCCAACACACCCCCTCAATCTGGCAACAGACCTATCTCGTCAATCATTTTCTGGAATGCGAGACATGTGAGTGGTTTCGTGAGGCCATCAGTGAGCATTTTGGCTGATGGGATATGTATGAGTTCGAGAGTACCATCTTCGACACATTCACAGACGAAATGGTAATGAATGTCAATGTGTTTCATGTGTGCATGGAAACATGCTTCCTTCGCAAGGCTGATGCATCCAGTGTTATCAATGAATATCTCCATGCCAGGATCTTTGTTGTACATTCTGATATCATGCAACAGGTATCCCAGCCATATTGCCTGTTTGGATGCATGTGAGAGGGCCATGTACTCTCCCTTGGTTGACGAGGCTGCGACAGTGGTTTGTTTCTTGCTATTCCACAATATGACATGATTGCCAAGGGTGAAGACATATCCCAAAATTGACTGGTGGTCATCAATATCTTGTGCCCAGTCTGAGTCACTGTATCCAGTGAGGACATCTGCATTCTCGCTGTTCTCCCCAAGCACGAGGCAGAAGTTGTGCATGTCTGTGAGGTAATGTAGAACACACAGTGCAGCTCTCCAATGTGCCTGCCCTGGATTCGCACTGAATTGTCTGAGGTGGCTGCTGGCGAATGCGAGATCTGGGTGTGAGACCATTGCAATCCAAGTGATTGCTCCAATGAGTTCATGGTATGGTAACTTCTTCATCTCTGCAGCTTCTTCATCTGTTTTAGGGCCATCTGCCCTTGATAGGACAGTATTTGGATCAACTGGTGTCTGTATGGGGTTGCATCTGTCCATTCTAAAACATTTGAGGATTGTGTCAATGTACTGGGCTTGTGAGATAGTGATGGAGTGATTCTTGTGATTGTCGATGAGCATGAATCCCATGAGCCAGTCTGAGTCTTCTTCCTTCATCTCAAACAGTTTGTGTAGCTTGGCACAAGTCTCCGCGAGTGTCTCAATACTGCTAGAGACAGTAATGGCATTGTCCATGTGCCATGCTATGATTGATGTGCCTGTCTTCATATGGCAGGTATACACTGCATGGTCAGAGGCACAGTGGACAAAGTTGTGGGAGATTAGTCCCTGGTGCATATGTTTGTTCCACAGGTGTGAGCCTTGTTTGATCCCATAGAGGCTAAGTAAGAGTTTTGTGACTCTGTTGGTGCCATCGCTGAAACCTTCAGGTTGTCACATATAGATTTCATGGTCAATCTTACTGTGGAGGAATGCCCCAGTGATGTTGTCTTGTCCTCAGTACCAGCCATGTGAAGCTGCAAAGTGCAGTATCATGTGAAGTGAGTCGAGTCGGATGGTTGGTGAGAATGTGTCACTGTAGTCAACACCTGGGATCTGTGAATATCCTTGTGTGACAAGCCATGCCTTGTACCATGTGATTTCGCCATCTGGGCCAAGCTTGAGGGTATATGTCCATTGGCACCCTATGACTTTTTGATCCTTTGGCTTCTTGACTAACTCCCATGTACCTCTTCTCTGCAACATCTCGATCTCCTCATGCATTGCCTTCCACCATTGGTCTGCCTTGGTGCAGGTAGAAGCTGCCCGAAAGTGTTCTGGGGTTCATTGGCCATAGGCTGTGAGATAAGCGAGCTGGGCAACCTCGCTGACAGTGGTATTTTCAACTGGTGATGTGTCAGTGTCATTTTTACATTGCCTTTGGGCTTGAGTTTCTTGTCATGCCTTCTGATCATTCTTTTCCCTCTCAGACTTGGCTTTCTGGGTGTCTGCTGCTTGTTTCTTCCACAATGGTCATGTGACATGTTCTGAACATCGAGGTTGAGCTGGTGGAGTAGCTGGTGTAGGCATTGGGGGTTCCTTGATGAGCATTGGGGGTTCTTTGGCGAGTGTTGGGGGATCTTTGACGAGTGTTGGTGTCTCATTCATGGTTGGATTGGCATCTCTGTCCATCACCCCCTCAGTCTGAGTAGGGGAGTCAACAATGGTAGTTGATTTTGGCACCCCCTCACTTGGAGTGAAGATATTAGGAGTAGGGACAGGTTTGTCATCAAGTTGGCTGAAGAATTTCTTGTAGACTATGACATCATGAGATGAGATGAACTTGTGTTTAGAGGGAATCCAGACCTTGTAAGCTTTAGAGCCTCATTTGAAACCACAGAGGATACTGTCAATGGAATGAGCCTTGAGCTTCTTCTGAAACTCGGGAGAGACTCAGACATGACAGTGAGAGCTGAAAATGTGCAGGGTAGATACATCTGGTTTATGACCATGGAAAACTTCATTGGGGGTAATTTTTGAGAGTGCTTTGGTTGGGCTTCAGTTCCAGATGTAGCTTGCATACTCATGTGCTTCAGGCCAGAAGCATTTTGACATGCTGGCATCTTTGAGCATTGCAAGAGCATGTTTATGTGTGGTTCAGTTGAAGTGCTCTGCAACTCTGTTTTGCTGAGGTGTACGAGGGGCTGAAAATTTGTGTGTGATGCCCTTCTGCTCAAAATAACTTCCCAGTGTCGAGTTGATGAATTCACCCCCACGGTTGGAGCATACTATCTTGACATAATGTTCAGTGTATGTCTCAAGTCATTTGATGAGTGCCTTGATGAAGGCTGGGGCTTGGTCCTTCGACTTCAAGTATTCCTTCCACCCTTTTTGACTATGGTCATTGACAATGGTGAGGGTGTAGAGATAGCCTTGGATGGATTTGTCGAATGGACCTTGGAGATCCATATGGATGTGATTGAGAGTTTTCTTTGCTCAAGTTGCAGTAGATGGGAAGGGGGCCTGGGGGTGCTTCCCTTTTGCACATCTGTTGCATGGTGGGAGATCACCATTGCCTCAGAGGTCCATACCTGTCACAAGGTTATGTTGGGTGAGGTAGCAGAGGTTATTGAGGCTGATATGGGCAAAGCAAGCATGCCATAATTTGAGGTTGGGTGCTGAACAGGTAGAGAGGGCAATATTGTGTCTCATGGTGGGTGGTGCAATGACACTATGGATCTCATATAGGTTGTTGGTTAGTCTTCCCTCCATCACAATCTCACCATTGGGTTTCTTAATGGTGAGTTGCCCATTTCACTTTGTGATCTCCATCCCTTTTTGGTCCATATGGCTTTCTGACATCAGGTTGTCACAGGCATTGGGACAGTATTGGATGTTCGTCAATTTGACAATACAGTCAGGATGTCCCTTCATGGAGACATCAACTAGTACTGATCCATGTCCAAGGACTTGGAGTACAGGTCTGTCTTTCACAATCCCTTGGATATGCTCCTCTGATGGGGTGAAGGTAGTGAAGGCTGTTTGTTCAGTGCATATGTGAATGGTTGATCCCCCATTGAGGATCCAGCTGAAATGGGAGTGAGAGGGAGGACTGGTGATATAGGATGAGTGTTCAGTGTCTGAAGAATCTTCATTGGTGTCACTGACATAATCTTCATCTGCAACAGCTTGGTTGGCTTTCTTGCCTGACTTCAACCTGTATTTCCCCTTGTGGGATTTGTCATCCTTCTCGTCCCCCTTATTACTATCTCTCTTCAACTTCTGCTTGTCATGATGGGGTCCCTGACCTTGCTTCACACCACCTTTCAAGTAGCATTCTTTGGTCCAATGACTGGAGAAATTGCAGTTCTCACAGAAAGGTTGACCTGGTATGGGTGTACGGCTGAGTTTGCTTCAGCCTTTGTTTCCATGTGAGGCTTGGTATGTGGTACTGGATGTGCCTGATTGGCTTGTATGGACGCTGAACTTGTCCCTGATTCGCCATTTGACTTTGATAGATTTGTAATGGTCAGGGAGAGCTGCAAACACATAGTTCCAAGCTGCCGGCATGGATATGTGTAGGAAACACATGAATAACTCATCATTGATGTCCTGTCGCATTAGGATGAGATCATGGCAATAGCCCTTCATCTTTGCTATATGGGCATTAATGTCTTCCCCATCATTATATTTGGTAGTGACGAGAGAAGCCATGATGAGTGTCCAATCTGTCACTGTGGTACCCAAGTATAGCCATTTTGCATCTGTCCAGATTTTGGAGGCATGCTGAAGGTGTGCTAATTGGGCCATAACTTCCTCTGTCATGCATGAGGTGAGGACTGAGCAGACAAACATGTTTGCTTTGCTCCAATGGACAGGGTGGTGTCTTTCATTGAGTAAGCTGTGTAGTGGCTGTGTGAAGTCTGGATCTACATAAATGTGTAGCCCAACGGTCTCAAGTGCACGGTATACAGTGCTTGTCCAGGTTGAGTAGTTGGTAGATGTGAGCTTGGGATGTAGACAAAGGAGATGGGTGAATTTTGATGGGTCAATGGACTTCTTCAGTGTGAAGTGAGTCTCATCTTCATCAGATGTGTTTTCATTGATGATGTTTGGATGGTGAGGTGTGGCAGATCACAAATGCAAGGGTGAACATGAGTTGTTCATAGTTGGGATTCCAAGGTTTGCAGGTGAATGTGTTGGTTGGTAAAACATAGCAGGTCCAAGCATTCCAACACACCCTCGAGGGTCCTCAGTCATGGTTCAAAACACGTGTTATATTGATCTTGGTGATATGCAATGGGTATGGTATATTTCAGGAGTTCACGATGTGTGAGAGTGTCCAATGGGTCTTAATAGTGATATCAGTGCCTGCATCAAGCAGGGCTCATAACCTAAAAGACGACACACGTCTAAAGAGACAAGGACTT